GGGGCCTCCTCTGGTGGGAGGGGGAGGCAGACATGGCCGGTGAGGGACGTCTCCAGGGTGGGAAGATGCCCTCGGAATTGGGGAGGGGGTCCTGGGTGGGGGCGTTCCTTGATTTATTCCCCTTTGTACCTTTTCTTCCCTCTGCGGAGCCTGAAGCGGAACGCAGGCACGGCTCTCCCTTCCCCTGTTGCTTTCTCTCTACACAACAACCCAGCGAGGTAGGCTAGGAACAGCAGCAAAGGATGAGTGCACGGTTGTTTAGCGAGGTTCAGGACCGAGAAGGGGGCAGTGGTGGTGGTGGTGGGGCATTTGGGGTGCCAGTGGGGGTGCGGCAAACAAAACTGGTGCTTGTGCCAGGGCCCAGGGGCAATGCTGTCTAATGAAGCAAATCTGTCTAATGAAGCACTTTATTGTTACTTATTGTTATTGCTATTATCGTGGAGTCTTGTGAGCAAAGATCCTCCTTTCGGCGCGACTGGCATTAAAGCTGTAAGCGATCGATTTGGCTCCTGCATCAATTCGTTTGCTCTGGAGCCGTCCTTCCTGAGCCAAGGCAAAAATGTGAGAGCCGGAGGCTAAACGACTCTGAGCTAGCTCACACTAACTCAGCTTAGAGGGAACACCAGCCAGGGGGAGAGAGTGTTTTCAGGGACCCCACGGAAAGGCTGCGGTTGGAGGAGGCAAGGGAAGGTTTTGGGGAGAAGCCAGCAGGTGCTGTCTGGGAGGGAGGCAAGCAAGACAGGGAGGTCCTTGCGGGCTCCTTGTTCCCGTCGTGTTCGGAAGGAGGACCCAGGAATCGCTTTCTGCAGGCGTGCCAGAAACAATAACAACCAGATCACGTGTACTGAAGCCGTGGGTGACAGAGCCAGGATTGCTTCCTTTTGACAAAGGCCCTTGCTGGTGGATGTGAGTGAGGAGGACGCAGGAGCGAGGCCTTCTGTTCCGTCCCCTTCGTTTTATTTTAATCATGAGCCTTTGTTCCGGGCAGCCGAGCCAAGATGTCTGAAAATCATTAGTTTGTGTGAGTGTTGTGGGTTCCTCCTCCTTTTCCTGGGGTAGCTTTGCCACTTTAAAAGAGAGAGGCAACTCTGGTAGCAAATCTTTGCGGCTGTGCTGAGATGAATTGTTAGATGCCTTTAGAGAATGCACGTATGGGAAGAACCGGAAACTCAGTCCTTCGCCGGTGCTGTGAGATCTTAGCCAGTGGACCAAAAGGCTTTTGCCGTGTGGTTTTCTGAGTTCATGGCTTGTAGGGAGAACTTTTGCAAGGAGGTCAAACTCTTGAGCAGGGTAGATCTTCCTTTGAGAAACAGATGAGGCCAGTTCAATGTGTTTTGGTACTCTGACTAAGGTATGCCCGTGTCTTCCCGTGCATTGCCAGAGGGGGCCTGTGTTTCACACAGCTGGTGGTAGTACATGCCCGGGAGAAGCTGGTGCTGGCTATCTGCCATGCCCCATGGTGGTTGAGGGTAAACTGAGCCCCTGTGGCGTCTTGGTGCCCTCCTCCTTCTGCTACTCCAACCAGTCATTTGGGCTGCTTGTCCGGCGAACCGTCCCTGGAGATGGACTTCAACACCATTTGTCTTCGCCAGCACAAAGTCGAGGGCATCCTATGGACCCCCAGAGACAAACTACTTTATTGCAGTGAATGGCCGACTTTGTGCATGTTGCCATTTGTTAGTTGCATTCATGTTTTTTGTCATCTTCTTGAGTAGTAGCTGATAAGCTCGATGGACAAGAGCGAGCCAGGCCAGAACAGGGAAGGTGCTGCAGCTTCTCTGCTCTGTTGAACCTGATGCGTGGCCAACTGTGTGGTCTCTCCTCGGGCAGATGTGTCCCATGGATGGGTGCCGAAAAGAGTTTCTTGGGGCACAGAGTTTAATTTGGGTCTGGTGGGATACAAGCGCAAGAGGCAGTGCAGGGAGAGGTGTGATTGATGTCAGAGTTAATGCATAGCCTTTAGTATCTCATTGGCCCCAAGAGAGAATGACTTGGACGTCAGTTTGAAGACACCCAGCCATTTCGCCAAATCTCTCTGTGGATGAGCACAGCTAGACATTCTGCGGCTTAGGGAGCAGCGGAGCAGGGAAAGGCACGTGGAGGCATTTCCCTGCTGCTCGGCTGGGGAAATGGGCATGTGCCGTGGGGCAAATATGAGAGCTACGATGCAGGAAGAAGAGTAAGGGTCTCCTGGGTTCCGTTCTCTGAGCTCCCCTGATCCGCAGGGTAAGCCATCTGGGTCGTGTGAGTTGTCACTTCACAGTGCTAACCTGATGACACGCCAAAGAGAAGAGCCTCCCTTCTCTTGGCATCTGGCATCGCTCTTTATCGCCAGTCCCCAGTTGTTTGCCCTGTGTCATTCCCTAATGTGGAGTGGGGAAGTTGTGGGCAGGGATTGTGTCATTCCTGTGTTCTGTACAGCACCTTGCACTACGCTGGCACCATAAATTTCCATTTGTAGCAGTAATGGGGTTTATAACCAACAGTCTCCCCTGCGGCAAGCAGTGGGAAGGGCCCCCGTGCAGTCGTTTCCTGTGAAGTCTTCTGGAGCAGAGAGCTTGTTTGCTGGCTAAGACACAGAAACACAAGAGGCTCTTCCTTGAAAAGCACATAAGGCTGGGGGTGGGGTGGGGAGTGCCCAGGGCAGGAGGCAAAAAGAATATGAAACTGGCCAGTTAGCTATCTGGGATCGGATGAACTTTGTAGAAAAGCCAGCATGTTAGCAAGTGGAATGCTAGGCTGCATTCCCTTCCCTCAGGTCTGTTTCCGGTCTTGTAACTGTTCTGCAAGAGCTTCTTCCACTGCCTTCAAACGTAGAGCTCTGAATCCTGCAGGCATAAAAATTTACAGCGTGCAAGCCATTCATGGCCTTGAAATGCATTATCTGGCCTCTCGGGGTCATCGCTCAGATTCCTGTAGCCTCTGGCCCAGGGGGCAGAGATAGCAGTGTCTTATGGATGCACTGGCATGCTGGTTATCTTGTCTGCTTGCGACATTTGATCGTCGTAAAGGGCAGGAGACAACGAGCCCTTCCACGACAAACAGGCGGGCCTCCTCCGGAGTTCTCCTCTCTGGTGCGGTGTAGCCTTCAGGACACAATAAACATGCCCCAGTTGTGACGCGGCAAAAATCCACTGGCTTGGACGCTTCACAGTCCAGGCACCTTCTTCAGCCCGTGTCTCATCACGATGCCAAAAAGAGAACGCCCTGTTGCAGTACAGTCCGTGCATCAAGTCTGTAATCAAGGGCATAGAGACGTGTGTTCTCAGGGACTCCTCCGTGTTTTTGGTCCTCCACTTCCCTGCAGGTTTCCCAGCAGCCCTCCCTTCCCTGGAGAGGAATACCACCACCCCCAAAGACTCCATGTTGAATTTGCTGGCAATACGGGGATGGAAATGCGTGTTTCTTAGTAGGTGAACAGCACCGGGTCCAATGTTCCCTCTAAGCTATGGAGTCTTGTGAGCAAAAATTCTACTTTGTGAGCAACTGGCATCAAAGTTGTGAGCAAGCGATTTGGCTGCTGCATAAATTAGGTTACTCTGGAGCCCTTCTTCCTGAGCTGAGACAAAAATGTGCGCGCCAGAGGATGAAAGACTGTGAGCTGGCTCACACTAACTCAGCTTAGAGGGAACACTGATTGGGTCTCGGTCTCCTTTCCAGGTTCTGCGGAGAGTGCTTGCAGCCCTGCCTCCAGGTCCCGTCTCCCCTCTGCCCGCTCTGCCGCATGCCCTTTGACCCCAAGAAGGTGGAGAAGGCCTCCAGTGTGGACAAGCAGCTGTCATCCTACAAGGCCCCCTGCCGGGGCTGCACCAAGAAGGTACCCCTAAGAGCTGTCTGCAAAGGAAGCGGGTGCAGATCTGTGCGTAGAGGCCCGCCTGCTCCAGGTTTAGACTATGGGGACGTGGTTAGGGGTGGCTTCGGGGATCCACCTCTCAAAGCGGGTAAGGTTTGACACCAAAAAGAGCAGCTCGCAATAGCAACTTGCCGCATGCCCTTTGACCCCAAGAAGGTGGAGAAGGCCTCCAGTGTGGACAAGCAGCTGTCATCCTACAAGGCCCCCTGCCGGGGCTGCACCAAGAAGGTACCCCTAAGAGCTGTCTGCAAAGGAAGCGGGTGCACTGCAGATCTGTGCGTAGAAGCCCGCCTGCTCCAGGTTTAGACTATGGGGACGTGGCTGGGGTGGCTTAGTGTAGCCAGTTTGGTGTAGTGGTTAAGTGTGCGGACTCTGATCTGGGAGAACCGGGTTTGATTCCCCACTCCTCCTCCACTTGCACCTGCTGGTGTGACCTTGGGTCAGTCACAAGCTCTGGCCCAGCTGTCCTGGGAAAAGAGCAGTTTGAGTCAGAGTTCTCTCAGCCCCACCCACCTCACAGGGTGTCTGTTGTGGGGAGGGGAAGGGAAAGGAGTTTGTAAGCCGCTCTGAG